GGGCTTAGTTGCTCCACAGCATGTGGGATCTTCCCGGACAAGGGCTCAAACCCGTGTCCCCTGCATTGGCAGGCGGATTCTTAACCACTGCGCCACCAGGGAAGCCCCTCAACAGCTCTTTGGTGACCAAATTTTACTCTGCTTCTCCGAGTCCTGAGGAGGAAGTTGAGACTCAGTTTCCTGTGCCTCCGTGGCTGTTTACCGCGTTGCCTGGCAACCTTGCCGACATCTTTCTGAGGATGTCGCGTTCATCTGTGACCACATCTGTACCCCAAGGAGGTCCCGGCGAGCCTGCCCCCGGCCAGGCAGGGGCACTGGCCGTTTCTGATTTTAGGGGGTAACCAGTCTCTTCAGCATTACGACCTGGTTTTAGAGACAGTTTGGGCAGTTTTTATCTTCCTGGGAATGGGTCTGCTCTCTGAGGAGTGTGGGCGCATCAAGCAAATGGGTCCACACAGCACGCTTCTTCCAGTTTTTAAAAGTCTTTCCTCTGAGACTCTGTTGTCTTTCATGTTCCTCGGGCTCACCAGTGTCTCCTCTTTCGCCAGTCAGACTCTCAGAGTTTTGTCTATTCTATTTTGCAAAAGCCAAACTTTGGGTCTTCCCTCCCTCCCGCGCCCCTCATGCCCACAGGACACAGCGCCCCCGCCCTCCTCCCCAGCAAACCTCCCAGCGCTCGGGGCTCCCTGCCCGCGGGGCTCCCTGCCCGCGGGTCCTGCAGGGCCCACGCCGCCCCGAGGCTCCAGCCACCGGCGCTCGCCGCATCGGTACCACAAAGCGCCCGCTTTCTCTCCGGCCACGTTACCGTAGCCACAAAGCGCTTCCAGGGGCTTGCTTGCGCTCAGCCTGCGGCACCTCGGGGATAAGCCACCTAGAGACTTAATCCGAAACCCTACCCAGGGAGCCGACACCTCTTGTCACTTCTCGTCAGAATTTTGGGGGAGACGACGCGGAGTAAGTGTCTCCAGTGACGGCCATTTGTCCCGAGCGCGAAGCTCCCTTCCCCTGACCGTCTCCCCATCGTGGCCCCGCGTCCCGGGGAATTATCGATAGTTTCGTGACCCACTGGGCTTTAAGCCAGAGCTTCTTAGCGCAGGAAGAGGCCGCGCTGAGCAGCGACCGCCAGGCAGAGCCTGCAGCAGGCAGGTGGCTTCATCCCTTCCCACGTGGATAGAGGGACGGCGCCGACCACTCACAGGCGGGGCGGCCACGGGCTGCGGCTTTGGCCTTTCTCGGCGCTGGAAGCCTGCCAAAGTGTCAGGGGTCTGAGGGGGCAGTTTCCGTTTGGGGAGATGAGAATTTGTGGAGATGGTGGTGGACGGTCGCTCAGTGCGAATGTACTGAATACCCCTGGGCTGTGCGCTTAAAATGGCTGAGAGGGAAATTCTTACGTCGTGTGTATTTTACCACAGTTTTTCCAAAATTGCATTCTATGACTACAGAATAAAAAGTTTGGGGGAAGAAAAAAAGGCAGGAAAACTGTAGACCCACTTCCTGCCCATGGCGGACAGGCGTCTGCAGCATTTTGCATGTGAACTTGGGGGCGAGGATGCCTGGGGGGCACCCGTGGAGACCACTTTCTCGCCTGCAGAGGAGGTCGTCCCGTCCTCCCCGTGACGTGGGAGACGTTGTGCGACTGGACGAAGAATCACCCCAGTCCCTTCCGCAGGGTGGTGCCCGGGACCGTGGCCCCCCGGCCCCCAGCACCGCGGCAAAGTCCCCGCGGCCGCCCAGCCACCAGGCCTCAGAGGCGGGGCCCCCACCATCGAGTGACCCCTGTGAGCCCCTGTGGAAAGTGGCCCTCGGATCGCCTGTCGCCAGCTCCCTTGCAGACCCCCTTCTCCCGCTCTGCCCGGCCCTGGACCCGAGGTGGATCCCGGGGTCCCTCCTCCGAGGAGCCCTCGGTCTGCCATCAAATCAGGGCCACCCAGGATGGCAGAAGGCCAGCAGGGGGGGACCCGGAGGACCTTCAAGGGGACAGATGAGAACCCCACCCGGGGCCCCTCCGTGAACCGCCGCTTCCTCTCCCTCCCTTCCCAGGGCCTGGGGCCCGGCAGCTCTTCCCGCCCGTCTACGGTGTTTCTAGAACGACTTGGAGGGTGTCACGGGCTGAACTGTATCCCCCAGATTCACAGGTTGAAGCCCTGACCCCGGGACCTCAGGATGTGACTCTGCGTGGAGACGGGGCCTTTAAATGGGTGACTGAGGGAGAACGAGGTCATTAGGGTAGGGCCGAATCCCACGGGACGGGCGTCCTGAGAACAGACACAGGGAGCACCACGTGGGGACACGGGGAGGACGCGGCGTCCACGCCGCCCCGAGGCTCTGTCAGCCGTGCGCGCGGGGGCGGCTCGCCCCGGACACCACGTTCTCCGAGGAGTGCCCGGCCTCGAGGGGACCAGGCTCTCCTGGAGGGGGAGGAACGCGGGCTCCGGCCGATCCCCGCGGAGGGACACACACC